TAAAGCGTTGACTTCTGCAAGAAGGGCGTGGCACAAGCAATCTCTTTATAGTTTGGAGAGGAGCTTAATGACCATCAGCTGAGCGTAATTACCTCCTGTAATTACATCGTTGTTCTTGACGCTGAGTAGCCCTTTGACGGCATGCATCCCGGAACAACTCACTGTTGGTTTCTGGATCACTCTCTCTTGTCTCCTCCCCACTGATCCAAGGCTCAGGCGCCATCTGGTGGCCAACCAGTCTCTCTGCACCCTGCTGGGAGTCGGAACCTTGTCCAGGGTCCTCCACATCCTCCAGGGCCGACTCATAGGGCCCCTCGCTGTTGGAGTCTGGTGGCAGCTCCAATGGCTCCTGCCACAACAGGAAGAAGCTGCAAAGAACGTTGGGCTGGCATGGTATTCCAGGAAACATGAGAAAAGAAAGTAGTCAGGCCCTTATATGGCCAGAGAGCTTTTTTCCCCCCTCCCAACCTATCTTACTTTTGGGGGGAGGCTGGTAAATAGGGAAAGATAGTAAATCAGTTTGTGTCTGAAAGGGTATTCTTTGCACTGCGTTTCTTCCCCACCGAGGCAGCCAACAAAATGGCATCTCCTAGACAGGCCTTTTCAGCAGAATTTGGTCCCTTCCCAAGCAAAACAGCCGAAGGAATTTGCTTTGTATGGCTAAAAACGGAGAAGCAAACAATAGACTCTGGCTTTAGAGCCAAGAACCTCTGATATGAATGTCCAGCGCGAGGGAAGCATCTCCAATACGGTTGTGGTCACCAGGTTTCAGAGGACAATCCTACATTCCAAGGCTGCCTCGGCTCAGCCCTGGGTAACCCCTGGAGCCAGCTTGGGGTTTTCAAAAGCAGGTACCCGCAAATCATTTGTTACAAGGTGTCTACACCGCACAATGGGGAGAGAAAGGAAGAAATGACAGATGATGAACAGAGTTGGGAGGGACCTTGGAGGTCATCTAATCGAAGCCCCCTGCCCAAGCAGAGGCCAGTGATGCCCAAAGCGGAATACATGTGCATGTGCGTGTGCCGGAAACCCAGAAACCTAAAGATCAGCTGATTGGTGTGTGCATGACTGTGTTTTGGCTGCTTTTCAGGCTGTTTCTGGCCTGAAAATAGTTTTTCGGATAGCTTTTCGGGGCGTTTTCTGGCACTTCAGCCAGCTGGAGAAGAGCAGCTGGCGACGGCATGCATCCCCACAGAGAGGGCTCTGCGTGCCACCTCTGGCACATGTGCCATAGGTTTGCCATCATGGCCCTACCGCATTTCTGACACAGGGCAGTCCAGTCTCTTCTTGAAAGCTTCCAGTGACGAAGCTCCTACAACCTCCGAAAACTTCTGTTCCATTGGTTGATTTTTCTCACTGTCAGGAAATTCCTCCTTATTTCCAGGTTGAATCTCTCCTTGTTCAGTTTCCATCCATTATTCCTTCTCTGGCCTTCGGGTGCCTTGGGAAATAGCTTGACCCCTTCCTCTCTGTGGCAACCCTTCAGATATTGGAAGGCTGCTCTCCTGTCTCCCCTGGTCCTTCTCTTCACTAGACTAGCCAGGCCCAGTTCCTGCAACCGTTCATCNGGAGACCTCTTCGGACAGCGCTGGCTCTTCGGCTTTGAAACGGAGCTGAGCACCGCCCCCTAGAGTCAGGAACGATATCATATATGTGCAAGGGGAACCTTTACCTTAATATTCAAAAAATATTTTTATTTCCAATCAAATCATGGATGGAATACGAGAAGGAAGAGCATGAAAATAGTAAGCCATCATGGCATTAAAACATCAATTATAATTGTGATATAAATTATAATATAAAAATAAATGTATACATTATACCTATTATACATGCTGATGATGCAGAGTCTATCATTTTTAAACATGGTTGCATCCAATCAAACTTTTCAGAGTGTAGCCCAACACACCCAGTCTTCACTCTCACTGAACTGGAGCAAAAGTAGATGTGCAAAGGCCACATGGATATGAGTCACCTGGAATAGCGTACAAACTCCTTATTGTGGAATCTCTGCTGAATTCTTGCTTGCCTCTGGCAGCATGCTAAGCAGATTCTTCTGGAATCCTGTGCTGAATATATTTATTGTGTTCCTATCACGCTCTTAATCGGTTTCTTAAACTGGCTTAACAGCCACAATTGAGCCAGATTCGTTTTTGTGGCTAAGCAAGTTCAGCTGTTCAGTTAATTTTGCCCCAATTTTATGACCTTCCTTGCCACTGTTGTTAAGTGAATCACAGCAGTTATTTCAGATACTAACACGGTTGTTAAGTGAATCTGACTTTGCTCATCAGGAGGTTGCAAAAAAGAGTCACTTGACCCATCATAAATGCACGCCACTTGCCAAGTATCCAAATTTTGATTGTATGACCAGGTTGCAGTGGTCGTTAAGTGTGAAAAACAGTCTGAAGTCACTTTTTCCTGTAACGTCAAACGCTCACTAAACAAATGGTTGCAAGCTTAGGATCACTTTTATTTGACTTATTTCTGAGTTTGTGCAATAATTGAACCAGGCGTAAAAGTTAGTTTTGTCAAAGCATTAAGTCATGATAGGACAGCAAACAAACTACGATGTGAGTGCAACTCACTAGGTCTTTAACTAACTATCTGGGTTTGAGTGTGTTATGCTAACAGAGCCGCTGAATAAGTGCCAATCCTTCTGGCCCAAGAAATCAGCAATAAGGGGATATTAGGTAAAGGTACCCCTCACACATATGTGCTAGTNTCAATGGGAGGAGCCAGATTCACTTAACAACCATGTGATTCACTTAGCAACTGCAGTGATTTTCTTCACGACAATGGTGAAAAGTTCATAACATTGGGCATTTAACTCACTTAACAACCAACTTGCTTAGCAGTGGAAATCCTGGTCCTGATTTTGTCATCGGTCAAGGACTATCAATAGCTTGCTTAGCCTTAATGGGATATAAATTATAGTATATAAATAAATAAATGCTGGCTGGCAGGGGAATTCTGGGAGTTGAACTCCAAACCTCTTAAAACTTATCAAGATTAGGGAAGACTGTTCAAAACATGTTCTGTGATTTTGGAAGTCTCAGGTTTTTTGTACAGAACTGTCATATTTTATTCAAATTCATTTTTTTTTTAAAGTAGAAATTTGATTTGGTTTTTTTGGGGGGGGGGCTCGAAACAAAAAAGCTTGGTTGATGATTTGACTGTTTTTCTAAAAGTTGAGCAGGGAAATTGAGCACACGTTCACTTCAATCTTTATAGTGGCTGTCCTTAATTGCTTGCTTCTCTTAGTCTTTTAATTAGAGCTAAAACATGGAGCAACATTTTACCTTTTAGCCCTATAATGCTGTAATGCTAAATCAAATACTAACAGTTATGATTTAAAATCTCATTTTAAAACCTTAAAATAAACCCCAAGACTGGAGGCTAAAACAAATGAGGAACGGTTGCAGGAACTGGGTAGGTCTAGTTTAGTGAAAAGAAGGACTGGAGGAGACATGATAGCAATCTTCCAATATCTCAGGGGTTGCCACAAAGAAGAGGGAATCAAGCTATTTTTTTAAATCTAGGAGGAAACTTTCTGAAGGACTGCTTCTGTTTTGACTAAGCCTTTTAGGTCTTATTGTAAATGACTGTTAACTTCTACTATTGTATTCGTTTTGGTGGTATTTCACTAATATTTCACTGTACTTTTTAATCAGATCTGTACATTTGTTTTAATTCAAAGCAAATAAAGGGCAACAATGTC